ATTTTTCTATCACTGCTAAACTCTTTCCCTCTCCCACTCCTAGTTGTCATTAATAACCTTTGGGTTTTGTACAGTTTGCTTTTTCTTGTTTTTCGTATAATAAAATCATATTATATTTGATACTTTGTGATTCGCATATTTTGTTCAGCATGTTTTCAAGTTTCATACCTCTAGCGCAGTGTTTTCCAAAGTAGGCAATACTGCCCGTCTTTGGGGGTGCTGGAATGACCTAGGGGGCTGCAAAAGCAGATACCTATACTTTATCTTGGATTATTGGCTGTGGTACAAGAGTGTTTAATTGCTAGGAGTGCTGGGGACTGAGTAATTTTTTTTTTTTTTTAAGAAACAGTAGGCCAAATAAGTGTGGAAACCCATACTTCAGCATGTATCAAGTTTTCATTTCTTCTACTGACTGAGTGGTGTTTCATTGTATATGTTCAGTTTATCCAGTCATCTGTTGATAGGCCTTTAGGTTTATACTTTTTTGGCTATTCTGAATATGCCGCAGTGAACATTGCTGTACAAATGTCTATTTGAGTGTCTGCTTTCAAGACTTAGAGGTGTATACCTAGAAGTGGAATTGCTGAGTCTTATGGTAATTCGATTTTTATTTTGTGAGAAATCACCAGCAGTTAGTCAGTTAGTTATATTTTAGCCATCCTAGTGGGGTCCCATTGTGGTTTTGACTTAAATTTCTCTAATGGCTTTTTATGTTTGGTGGCCAGGTTAATGTCTTTTTGGTGAAATCTCTATTCAAGCCTTTGTTCATTTTATGATTAGGTTATTTGTCTGTTGTTATGTCTCTTTAGTTTTTATATGTCTCTTTAGTTTTGGTTTTATATGTCTCTTTAGTTATTAGATTCTTGTCAGACATGTGGTTTCTGGCCCAATCGATAAGATGTCTTAGTGTTTAAAAAAATTTTTTTATTAAAAGATCATTTTATTGGGGGCTCTTTTAGCTCTTAAAACAATCCATACATTAATTGTATCAAGCATATTTGTACATATGTTGTCATCATTATTTTGCAAACATTTATTTTCTATTGAGCCCATGGTATCCACTCTTCCTTTTGCCTCCTCCACTTTCAGTATTTTTGATCAGATCTTTTTTGGAATAAGAGTTTTAAATTTTTGTGAGTTCCCTGATGTATGTATAGCTTTTAGCTTAACTCTGTGTGAACAGGAGCTCTGCTTTCTTGAATTACTCAGCACTCCCCTGGCAGTGAAAACTTTCGTACTGTAGCCCATAATCCAGGATAAAGTTTTGGTATATGCTTTTGCAGCCCTGCCTGGACCCTTCCAGGGCCCTCCCTCCCCCAGGGGCAGTATGGCGTCCTGTGGGAAAAAGGAACTGAACCTTTAGCACACTTATTTCTAGTGTTTGTTGAACTTTTTAAATATCATGAACAGTAGGCTACTTTTTCTTAAAATTCTGAATTAGGTGAGCCACTGTCTTGAGTAAATAAGGTGACACTAGTTCAGGGCTTATGTTTGATTATTATTTGTGGTTTAAATTTATTTATTTATATTGTGAATATACCCAGCAAAAGAAGTTCAGCACAGCAAAATTAACCCACTGAAGCTTCTAGAGGTGGAATTCAGTGACATTTATTATATTCTTCAATCATGCAAACATTCCTACACTCCTTTATCAGGTTGTTCCTCCCTCAGTGCCATAAACTCAGGACTCCTAAATTCCTATTTAATCTTTGAGTTGCGCTGTTGGCATGTTGATATCACATACATCTTAAAAGAATATAATGCTCAAGGCAGACATTCTTCACTTGTAGCCGGAACCATTGTATGGTTTGAAGATGACTTCAGGGGATGGAGTTGCAAGATTATCTCCGAGCAGTCATTTCAGGGGTTTCATCCACCCTCCAGGGCTCCAGTAGTCTGGATTCCAGGAGAATTTGACATTCTGTTCTGCCTTTCCCCCTATTTTGACCAAAATGCCTCTGGAATCTTTGGGTCAAGATGTTCAGTTAATAGTCGCAAGGCACCATTCATATCTGGGCTTTTCAAAACACTGGTTAACATAGGGGCAGCCAAAATATACTCTTAAGGTTATACAAGATGAAAGTTTATATAGCCTTCTTGGGTCTCTGATAGGGCATTTTAGCAGTGATATATAAAATTTAGCTTTGAGAGGGGTGGTTGTACATTTTTACTGTGTATTTCCTTTTTTTCACATTAAGTCAAAAGAATTTATATTCTCGACAAATTTCTTGCAGATCACAGAATATAAGAATTTTATTGTTTTTGTTGCTATTACTATTTATCCTCTTTTATTTTGAAAGTAGCTTGCCTGACTTGGAAGAATTTAAGTCAGTTTCAGCTTTGCTTTTCCTCATTTTATAAGCACTCAGACCAGTGTTTAGGTCTGATAAGTAAGGAATATGGACAGTGTTTAAGGCTGTGACTGCTACTATGCATTTTCTTACATTAATCTCAGTGTTATAGATGAGGATCCTCTTTGCAGTAAATTACTTATCAGAGTTCAGAAAACTTGACTGGAAAAATCAAGTTGTTGCTATGTAAGTTCTTTATCTTTATTTATTTATTTATTTATTTTTACATTTTATTAGGGGCTCATACAACTGTTATCCCAATCCATACACACATCAATTGTATAAAGCGCATTTGTAAGTTCATTAACACTGGGTCATTTGGAATTCTAAGCCACAATAAAGCCAACTAAGTAAGGACTCTGGGAAAAAGGGAATATACAAAATGAACTCCATTTCCCTTTAATTTTCTTAATCTGCGTAGTAGAAGACACCAGTGTGTGGTAATCTGGACCAGCACTTTTATAACAGCCGAAGGGAAGTCTTGTTCAAAGTACACAGAAAAAGAACGGCCTATTCTTTAAGATCCCATCAACAGTCAGGTGTAAGAATGCCATTCTATTGTCAGGCAGAGATTAAAAACGTATTAGAGGCAGTGCTTGTTCTTTGCCAGTGGCTCTTTAAAAACCAAACTCCCTGCCTTCAAGGCAGTGCTGACTCAGTGACCCCTTGTGGGTTTCCGAGGCAGTTAACTGTTTATGGGAGTTAGAAAGCCTGGCCTTTCTCCCAAGGAACTGCTGACCATGCAGATCACAGACCAACATGTACCCCCTACACCACCAGGGCTCCTACTGTGGCTCGCTTTAAGAGTACTGGTGTGTGTTTTGTTTGTTGTTTGTTGTTTTCCCTGTGCTGTTTTCCTATTAAACAGCTTTATTTTGTTGAGCACAGCTTATATCTGGGTGGGTTGATAAACTCATAATTAAGAGCCAAAGGCTTCAGAGTGATGAATTTAGTGACATGGGAACGATTTCCCTTTCTCCTTGTGTACCAGCAATAGTGGTAGTGGGGATGGTAATACTATATAATGACCATTATATTGCATTTACACAAAAAGCAAAGTGCTTTACATGTATTATTAACATATCTAGTCCCCTCACTCAACTCTTTGAGGTAGATGTTATTATCCCCGTTTTACCAAGGTGAAATTGAGGCACTGAGAGGTTAAGTAACTAACTACTCCAAGCAATAATAACTCGTAAGTGGCAGAGCTAGGAATTGATCTGAGGCAGCCTGGCGCCAGGGTCCTTCCTCTTAGCCATTATACTGTCCTGTGTTTATTTGACACCCATATAAGTAAAGGGAAACGTGAGATTTTAAAAAATGCTTTTAAAATCCTTGTGGGCTCGATGGAACTAATTATTTGTTCGTTCAGAGTTCTCTGTAGAATCAGTGATTACAGAGAGAACATTTAATCTCAAAGCATTCATCCCTGTTTTCAAACTACTATTTTCAGATCTGTTCTCTATCTAAAACCTTGCATTTAGAAAAAGTACACTTGAACTGTTCAGTTGACTTGGCAGCTCCAGCGCTTGCAGATGGGGTTATTGCACGTGAGTTCTTGGGCTGTGTGTGCTGACCCCTGAAGCAGTAATTTGGATAGACCCCAGGGTTTCCACTAGAGTACAGCACAATTAGGAGTTCTGGCTTCAGTGTTTATGTGTGTATCGGATCTGTTGTATCTTGGTGGATCCTTCACAAACGGAGCTTATCTTCCCCAAATGCTGAAAACCTTTCCATGCCATTGAAATCCAAGAAATGCGTAAGGATTTTGAAGTTCACCTCTGAGCAAGATGAAATGGTATCATTCTGGAGACATGGAACAAATGAAACAGCCGGCCCGTTTATAAATGCTTAAAATTCAGATATAAAGTACTTCCTTGTAATCTTGCAGAATTAGTTCTCATTTGAGCATAGCTCTGCACAGTTTACCTATAAGGCCAATGGCTACTATTTTTTCTCTTCAGTTTTTTTTTAAGTTGAAAATATATGGAACAAAACATTGGCCATTTCAACCATTTTTACATGTGTAATTCAGTGACATTGTTGACCTTCGTTATGTTGTGCAACTGGCACCACTTTTCTTTACCAAGTTATTGCACCTACTAGTAGAAACTGAGTGCCCCTAAGCAATGGCTCCCTCTTGCCTCCTCCCTTCAAGGCATCGGTATGCTTTGGTCTCAGTGTATTTGACTATTCCACATAAATTAGATCATGTGATATTTGCTCTCTCATGATGTATTTCACTGAACACAGTGCTTTCATTGATTATCCATGTTGTAGCATGCATTGAGACTTTGTTGGTCTTTATGGCTGAGAATGCACATTCATTGTATCTACCACTTTTTATTTGTTGGTTTGTGGACATTAAGGTGGTTTCTACCTTTTTCAGATTCTGAATAACACTGGTACGCTAATAGCTACTATTGCTTAAAAAAAAAAAAAAGTTAATGCTGGATTTTTTCCTGCTTCCTGTTTTCTTGGATTTTGTGGATCAGGCATGCTCTTGGTGTTTGTTTTAGACCATTTCTGCTGTAGTGCTTTGGTACAGTCACGCATTTGACTGAAGGGAGGAGTAGGTTACTAGTCTCTCCAAGAGTGCATGTTAACAGAAGTGTAGCTTATTGTCGTCATTGCTTTTCTTTCCCGTAGGTCTATGAAGGCTTAGACATCATCACCAACAAGGTTTCCCTCCAAGAACAGAGGCTCTGCCAGCATCACATGATCAGTTTTGTGGATCCTCTTGTGACAAATTACACGGTGGTGGACTTCAGGAACAAGGCAACTGCTCTGATATCCTTAAGAAAGTTATCAATTAACCATTGTGGGTGCGAGACAGCCCAAGCCAAGCAAGACATTTCCTATTTCTAGTGATAATTTCATAGAAGGAGGGTCACTCAAGACCTAACTACTAAGAAGGAATGTCCTCATCAGAACTATGTGAATTGAAACAGAATACCTTTTTATTGAAAGTGTCGACCTTGAAAGACAGCATTTCCTGGAAGTTTGTTAGAAATGCTGGATCTTGGATCCCACTCGAGACCTATCCAGTCATAGTCTACATTTTAACAAGCGCCCCAAGTGACTCATACTCACATTGAACATTTGAGAAGTGCTGGTTTAGTGGAGAGAACACTGATTTAGGGACCAGAAGTTCTGTGTTCTAGTCCTGCAGCTGTCTCTTTTTCCCATGTGAATTTTGTTGGGTGAAAACATTTAATTAACTCCCCTGAGTTTCAGCCTCCTACTTTTTAAATGGAGATAACAAATTAATTTATCAACAAATTGAAGTAACAGCTAAAATGTCAAAGGAGTTGTTGGATGGAGGAAGACTGGGAAAAAATAGTTCTAGGTGAGATTAAGACATTTAGAAAAAATAATATCGGGTCCTGCTAGATATTAAAACATTGAAGTTATAATTAGAATGGCATGGGATTTAGATAATAGGCAAATTTATGCCACAGAATAGAAGTCTATATTCAAACTCATGTATTACATGTGTGTAGCTTATGATTAAGGTGTCATTTTAAAATAATGAAGTACTTCTTTGCTACCGAGACAGTTGTTGTGGGGAAAAATAAGGGCAGGACCTCCCATCTGACACAATAATAAATCCTAGATGGGCTTCAGAGTTTTTTATGTATGTGTATATGTGTGTGTATATATATGTAGATATTAGTGCTACATTAAAATAAATGGGAAAACAAAATTTATCGAGTACTTCTATGATCTTAGCGTAGAGAAGGGCTTTGTAAATTTTTTTGAAAAGGAATATAACTAGATATGATTGTGTAAGAATTAAGAATTTGTATGGATGAAAAGTATATCAGCCAAATTCTTGGGTCTACCGTAAGCCAGGAGATACGTGGTAGCTCTTATTCACAATAGCATTGTTCTTAAAGCAGAAACACACAGATACCCAAATCCCCACTTCCAGAACAGTGATGAAGAATCACTACAGTCACAGAGTTATCCATCAGTAAAATGGGAAATGAATAGATGATTGCAGGTACATATATCAAGGAATATATAAGAACCTTGGAAAACATTTGAATTGGAGAAAAAGCCTACATAAATTTGACACCAATTCTTAAAGGCAAACATTTATTGTTTAGGGATATCAGCATTGTTACAAAGATAGAAGCACAGAATAATGAAAATTAAGTAAAAGCAAAACAATTCTTGGTAGTGTTTTCAAGCGTCTGAGAAGATAAGTAGGAGGTTGAGAGGAGAAGGATCATGTATAGGAGATTTCAAAGAAATTGGTTATAGTCTGTTTCTGACCTTGGTTCAGGAGTATTTTTATTAAGTTTTATAATTTACATGTTACATAATATTCTTTTATGTGTATTGAATATTTTATCATTAAATAAAGAAACCATCCACTATGAACAGAATTTTAAAAGCTAACCACAAACCAGAGGGAATGTTTATAGCATTTGAAAAGCAAATGGCTGATATTAATACATGAAGAATTCTTACAAATCAATAAGAAAAATACATGAAGCACATGAGCAGTAATTCACAAAGGAAGGAATACAAATAGTGATAAATATGAAAAAAAGGGTTTACCATTGCTGTTAATCAGGGATATGCAAATCAAAATAATACGTTCTTTTTTTAAAAAAACATCAAATGGGGAGAGATTAAAATGCAGATAATAAAGAGTTCCTGCCCTACCTGCTTTACAAAGCTGTTGTGTCAGATGAGATAACGTATAGGAAAACTCTCTGCAGATTAAAATATATTAGCAAACCTAAGTTATTGCCATAAAGCAGTTGGTTTGTTCAGAAAGAACTGATACAAAATAAGCACATAAGTAAGATTTCTAAAGGACCGCAACCACAGGAAATGACTTACAGCTAGGATATTTGTGAAGTTAGGGAAGGGCCAGGAATCAGAATGTGAACCTTCTTGATTTGACAGATAAAGGTACTGGATATTGAGGCCCAGAGAGAAGAGGTTTGCTGAACATTAGGCTTTTTTTCCATGGCTTTGAGCAAACATAAGCCTTTCTCACCATTCAGCTCCTCACCTATCTCTTTCCCCTCGTCTCCACTAGATCCCCCTCTGCTGCTATTTCACCATCTCCCCTCACCCTTTTCATTTCCTCACTCCCTTTCTGGTGGTTAATTATATTACCTAGGTGGAATCTTGTTACTATATGATTATATATGTTCCATTAACTTAGAGGGTAGAATGGAGCATTTCTGCTTCTTTTTTGGAAAACAAATGAGCAATGATTCTTTTTTATGATCCTCAGTCTCTCACCTCAGCCTATTAATGGTTGGTTACTGGGCTTCTTCTGATAGAAGAGGTTGATCCTTTCCTGGCAAGGGCAGGACGAATGTAAGCAGTTCTTGAAGTGTTGAAAGTAATTTTTAAAATTAATTATCCTCAGAAGCAAACCCTTCTGCAAGCAAATACTTAGCTGTTCAACAGAGATTCCAAAGAGAATATTTCAAAAGTAGCAGGAGGAGAAAGACAATAGTGGCTAAAGCAAATTTAGGCATTGTGGGTAGGGGATTTGTGTGACAGGTCTCACTTAATGCTCCTCAGAACTCCTGAGGATCTTGTAGGTGAGAAAATGGCAGCACTGAGAGGTCAACTTGCCCAGGAGCTGGAGCTAATAATTAAAGGCTGTTGATCCCCAGAGGCCATGCATCGTAGTTTATCTGAAGTCTCAAGTCAGAAAAATGTGTGCACTGATGCATGATGGTGGAGACCTGTGGGCTCTAAAAACCATGACTTTTAAAAGCCAGTTTATGTTTTGCCTTACAAGGCAAAGTAAAAAAATGGATGACTTCAGACCAACCTGACACTTGGTTCTGTGAGAGTCCTTGGACTTGTGCTTGTTATGCTGATATAAATACCAATAAACCTTTGAGTTTTAGCAGCAAGGGAGGAACTTCCTAGGGAGGAAGTTCTAGAACAGGAAGGAATTACCATTCATGTATTTGCCGCTGGTTTATGCAAGGCCCTTCACAACTGCATGAAAGTGATTCTTGGAATTCGTGAGAAGCACTGCAGACTGACTGGTTATAGTTCATCTTGGTGTCTATCTACCCTTCTGACGACAGAGGAGAGAATGTTGACATGAATCTGGGTTCTTTCTAATACCCTCTTTCCCAAATGAACCAGGAGTCTCTTTTTGCTATAAAATATTGTGATAGCTTTCTTAATGTCCACATTGAAGATATATTTGCCCGAGACAAAATCCCAATTGTCGTGGGAGGAACAAATTATTACATCGAATCTCTGCTCTGGAAAGTTCTCGTCAATACCAAGGTATGTTCAGTTCACGTGTAACTCATTAAAGTAATGGGTTCTATACTTTCTTGCCAACAAATTTTAGTGGGAGGAAGGCTGACTTTTGCCTATTATGCTCAGCAACTGTAATTTTCTTAATATTCTGAAGCAAATGCCACCTCTTGATCTGAAGTGTGCTCCTCTAGGCTGGCCTAAGGGCAGGGGCTGAGTGTGGGAAAAATGCTCCTCTGTGGCATAATGAGCATCTCCACGGAAGTTAACAGTCTTTTAGTCTGATTCAGCATTTCCAGGTTGGCTGCACAATCCATATGTAAGGGGCATTTCTAACCTTTCTTACAGAGGTGCTATTGCATGAGGTGAGGTGAGACTTTGCAAACTGTAATGTGGTGTTATGCTAATTTTGTTCAACTTGGGGGGCCTCTTTGCTCAGAAGACTAGATTCTCAGATATGTTAAAGTTGATGCCCTGTTTCTTGTGCACACTTCTGTCTAGGAAATCAGGGTCCCTGAGTCTTCTCCTGGAGATGAGTCCTGCTCTCCCCCAGTCCCCCCTCCCCCCTCCCCCCTTGCAGTAGTCTCACAGCACTTAGCACCATGTGTTGGAATCCGCTGTTGATGTTCTGCCTCTCACTAGGTGGCAAGGTCTTTTCATTCATGTCTACTCAGAATTCTTCATACTTAGGAAAGTGTGAGGCACATACCCAGCCTCACTGTTGGTTGAATTAAACTTACATAATTCCCTTCATTTAACAGCCCCAGAAGGCGGACACAGAGAAAGTAGTTGACCGGAAAGTGGAGCTTGAAAAGGAGGATGGCTGTGTGCTCCACCAGCGCCTACGCCAGGTGGACCCAGAAATGGCCGCCAAGCTGCACCCACATGACAAGCGAAAAGTCGCCAGGTAAGAGAGCCTGGGCCTCCAAACCCCAAGTTCCTTTTGAGTTAAGGAGCAGTCAGTTCTTCATTTGGCTTGGATGAGGAGACGTTTGATCACAGCAGCCAGTGGAGATAGATGTGTTGTTCTAGCTCTGCAGGTTGGGAGGCCCTGTATTAATACCTCAGCCCAACTGCCTCGGTAAATAGTTGCAGCCAACCTTGTTACATTTAAAATGTTTAATACAATATAGTCTTTCCCTAGGGCCTATGTAATCTTGCTTCATTTTCTGTTTGATCTTTGCTTGTATACCAGTTTTCACATAAATTTTCTGGCATGTAGTTCGTTTACATTGTGATTTAGGTTTCATAATTGATTGTGCAATGCCGAGTTCTGCCCTAGCAGCGTTCCCAGTGGGAGGTAGATTTTGTAAACTGTCTCGTAGATCAACTCACCTTTACACAGACTTTGTGGGAAGACCAGTGCTGACGAACTCATAAGGTCGTGTTTTCTTAAGTTTGGACATCGTAGCCTCATGTCTGAGTTTTGTCTTGTTTTACAGTGTTAGAAATGATTTCCCATTTGACTTAGTAGAGGATCTAATAAAGAACCTCACATGTGAGAGTCTTAAAATATAAAAAATTGTGGAAAAGTTTCCATTATCTTTTCATTCTATTTTTCATGAATGTTTTGAAGTTCCCTTGTATAGATGATTATACAAATTAAATGTGATCGTGACACCCGGTATTGATAGGGAGTCATGAACTTCCCTCCTCAAATAGATTTTCTAGATCTGTGTTTCTTAATCCTTTTTAAAATTATTGACTCCCAGGGAGCCTTCTTGAGGAGCCCTGCTGGTGCTGTGGATTAGTCAGTCATTGGGTTGCTAGCCAAAAGGGCGGTGGCTTCAGATGCACTAACCTTCATGGGAGAAATAGAAAGCTGTGTGCTCCTATGAAGATGAACAGTCTCAGAGACCCAGTATAGGATCGCTGTGAGCCTACTTGATGGCGGTCGGTTTGCTTTTAAGATTTAAGGATCCTTTTTAGAAAATCTATTTTCTAATCTATGCTCCTCTTCCTGTGAAATTTATCGTCCAAGAATACTGTTTTTTAGATAGAGTTGTGTCTTGGAAGGGCACATGGAAATGTTTGTTCCCCTCCCCATTGATGGCAGTATCACCCGGTAACAATACATTTTCTAGATTAATGACGTTTATACTTGGACGTATCCAGATGTTCTATTTGAAACGTTTTCATAGAAGTATTTCAAAAAAAATTTTGAAAACTCAGGAACATTATGATAAAAATTCTGTGTGGTTTTGGTTTTTTTTAACCATTCTTACATTGTTTCATGACATGGTTTTAGAGCTTGGTCATTAGTACTATCTCCTCTCACTAATCAGTTCTTCCTTGTTACCTCTCCTCGAGTTGGTTCTTCTAAATTAGTAATGGGAGGACTGCTAGTGGGGCTGCAGTGAAAGCTCCAGACTGAATGGAAAGTCGGTAGTTTGAAGTCACTAGTGGCTCCACAGGAGTAAAAACTTGGCTAGATGCCACGGTACAGATTACAGTCTAAGACATCTCATGGGGCAGTTCCCCTTTGCCATATAAGATCACCATGAGTCAGAATCTTGATGGCACCTAACAAACTAATAATGAGTTCAAGAATTGTGTCTTAGGAAGGATCATTAGTTCTAGGCAAGAACTTCAGGTATCTTTTCTGTAGAGAGAATAGAAGGATTTAAATTTTTTTTCTTTGCGTTTGAGGCTTGTCTTCTCCTTTAAGGGATGTAAGATGCTATCAGTACATTTTTTTCCCATCATAGGTTGTAGGTTCAAGAAAAACAGAGGGTGTCTAAATCATGTGTTAGGGCTTCAGGACGTGGAATTGGGTCTGGAAGAAAAAGATCACTTTCAAGTTGATACATGAAAATCACTCAGAGTGGTATAAATTTGGGAGTTAAATTACTCGATCCTGCACAGCATAATGGATAAACAGCAGTGGTTGGTGAGCTAAGGCTGGGGTTGTGAGTTCTTGCTCCAGCGATCTCTGAGTACTGAATTAGCCAGGCACATTCTTCATTAATTTTTAGACATATTTAAAAAGAAAGTTGATGAGCTGGATATACGACATACTTTTGAACTGTGGGAAAGGCTCTCCAGCAAGACTCGACTTGTTGGTTTATAATGAAGTGTCCCAAATAAGCTCTTTCGCTGCTTACCTGAAAGTGAAGCGAGTCTCATTCTATTCATATAGAGAAACCTGTTGTTTTCTGAGCCTGTTTAACTGATTCCTGAGGAAAGTCTATGTGTATTTGGAAGAATAGTATTATTTCTCACTTTCCCTGAAGTTTTACTTAGGATCCTTTTCTGAGTGGTCACAGGATTGGAGAAACCCTAGAACCTTCATGTCTTCAGAAGCTTATGCAGTGGGAAAACGGATGAGACCTTTTATTAGAAAAACAGCTGCTTTGCTTGGGTAACTTGAGAATGTATTTTCCCTAATCGTTTTTTATGAATGTAAACCTCCCTGTCCCTTGTGTTTCAAAATAACATAGGAGCTTGCAAGTATTTGAAGAAACGGGAATCTCTCATAGTGAATTTCTTCATCGACAGCACGCAGAAGAAGGTGGGGGTCCCCTTGGAGGCCCTCTGAAGTTCCCTAACCCTTGCATCCTCTGGCTTCATGCTGACCAGGCAGGTAAAGGCCCTTTGATGCCCTCAAGCGTCCATTTATAAATAATATACATGTACATGTGTATTTATATATGTGTATAACTGTATATAAAATGCTTGGAACAGTCTGGCCCATAATAAGCACAAAAGAAGTGAAGTAGTGTTTGTTATTAATTTTGTTATCATTTTTCTTGGACTCAGTAAGGCCCAGTGCCACTCCCTATCTTAGGGAAATAGGAATGTATGGAAAGGGAGGATGGAAGGACAGACCCTGACCCAGGATAAGATATTAGGAGTGGGGGAGGATGGGAAGCGTGGGCTCTAGAGAAGGTCTGAGGAGAAGGAGAAGACATGCTCTTGTGGAAGGGTGTCTGACCCCCTGGAGTCTGTGGGTCCCCGATTTTCTAGAAGTGGTAGGTGAGTGGGTTTGCCGGCTACCCAGCTAGCCTGGTGGCAGTTTTGTTACTAAAGCAGAGTGATTCTCTGTGAGAAGGGATATTCAACCAATGTAGGTGAGCATTCCAGGGAACGTTGGGAAGGCAGCGTGTTACTTGGGTTTCAGAGATGAGTAAGAGGTCATACCTGCTCTTAAGGATCTCCGAGTTAATGGGGTAACAAACCAGATATATCTTGCAGTGTGATCAATGTTGGCCTCCAGGTATCGTCAGAGTGCTGTGAGGCGCAGAGAAGGAAGGGCTGATGAGCATTTTGTTTTCCTGGGGGAGTCAGAGACCAGTTCCTAATCATAACCTATGAGCTAGCTCTGGAGTATGAGGAGATGATTATGTGGACACGCAGTAGAGTCTAGCGATGAAGAGATTATAAAGCGCTCTGAGCCGGACTATCTGGATTCAAATCTTGCTTCATCATCTTCTAGCTCTGTCAGTTTAAGACAAACGAATTTACCTCTCAGTGTCTCAATTCCTTCTCCTGTAAAATGGAGGGAAAAGTATGTATCTGGTAGCTTCTTTGAGGATTCAATGAAGTAATACATCTAAAGTGTTCAGAATGTGCCTGACACAGTGAGCCCACAAAAACGGCCAACTTTGATAAGGGCTATCTCTAGGAAAAAAGCTACAATTGATGCAGCTGAGAAAGAGGAATCAAAGAGCTATTCAAGAGCTGAACTGAAATGGTGACAAGTTGCTGGTAAATGAATCTCAGCTACAAATTTATAGAAAAGTAATTTTGTAACAAAATTTATTAAATGAAAATGTACTACAAGTCAGCATAGTGCTATCTGACTCATAATTACCCGTGGTTGGCCACCACACCGCTCACGCTGTACTCCTTTGGCTCCATGGCTCAAGAGATACCTAGGATAGCGTAGATGAAGTTCCTCCTTTCCAACCAAGATATATCATTTAAGAATTCTTAAGTGTGAAATAATGTTTACAATAACAAATATAATGGGGGAACCACGGACCCCTCAGTTACCTCTGAAACGCAACTGATAGACAGACGGTCCGTACAAACGTGAAATATTTGTGCTTCCTGAAAACAGCTGTAGATGTCTCCTATGCATTTATGTAATATGAAGGCAAAGGTATATAATCCTTATTCTTGAGTTTTGCTTTGTTTTTCAGTTGCAGAGTCTTATATGTGACCAACTATAATACAGATTGACCTAATCTGTGAAATCTGAATTCTTTATTCTGTTTGTACAAAATGCTGTTACATATCTTATAACAATCCATACATCCATGATACCAAGTGGACATGTATAATTGTTGGTGTCAACAATTTCTTTTTTTTTCTTTCTCAATTTTGTTGGGGGCTCTTAAACAGCTCTTACCACAATCTATCCATCCATCCATGTGTCAAGCACATTTGTACATTTGTTGCCATCATCATTCTCAAAACATTTTCTTTCTACTTGAGCCCTTCTCATTTTACCCTTCGCTCCCCCTCCCTCTCTCCCTCATGAACCCCTGATAATGTATAAAATTTTTTTTTCATGTCTTACACTGACCTGTGTCTCCCTTTACCAACTTTTCTGTAGTCCGTCCCCCGGGAGGGGGTTATTTGAAGATCACTGTGATCGGTTCCCCCTTCCTCCCCCTACCTTCCTCTTACCCTCGTGGTTTTGGTACTCTCAATATTGGTCCTGAGGGGTTTATCTTTTCTGGATTCCCTGCGTTTCGAGCTATTATCTGTACCAGTGTACATCCTCTGGTCTAGCTGGATTTGTAAGGTAGAATTGGGATCATGATAGTGGGAAGCAGGAAGCATTAAAGAACTAGAGGAAAGTTGTATGTTTCATCAGTGCTGTACTGTACCCTGACTGGCTCGTCTCCTCCCCTCGACCCTTCTGTGAGGGGATGCCCAATTGCTTACAGATGGGCTTTGGGTCTCCACTCTGCACTCCCCCTCATTCACAATGATAGGATTTTTTTGTTCTGGGTCTTTGATGCTTGATACCTGATCCTATCAACACCTCGTGATCACACAGGCTGATGTGCTTCTTCCATGTGGGCTTTGTTGCTTCTCAGCTAGATGGTTGCTTGCTTATCTTCAAGGCTTTAAGACCCCAGATGCTATATCTTTTGATAGCCGGGCACCAATAGCTTTCTTCACCACATTTGCTTATGCACCCACTTTGCCTTCAGCGATCCTGTTGGGAAGGTGAGCATCTTGGAATGCCAGGTTATTAGAACAAAATTTTCTTGCGTTGAGGGCGTACTTGAGTAGAGATCCAATGTCTGTCTACTACTATAATCTATGACACGTAAATATATGTATATAGATCTATTTCCCTATCGTCATATATAAATATATTTACATATGTACATGCTTGTATTTAGACCTCTATAAATGCTCTTTGCCTCCTCGTTCTTTCCTCTATTTCCTTTTACTTTTCTCTTGTCCCACTAGCATGTTCACCCTTGGGTTATGACCTTATCTGTGAAATTTGAACCCTTTCTTCTGTTTGTACAGAATGCCCTTTCTGTGTTGCCTGTCTGTGTACATGTCTCGTAGGCACCTGTGCTCTGCTGCTGGTTAATAGGCTAATATTAAAAAATTGCATTGCTTCAGTTATTTTCTCTAACTTTTTCCATGTCTTATTTTTTAATTAATAAATAATTTTGTTGGGGGCTCCTACATATCTTTTAACAATCCATACATCAAGTGGACATGTATAATTGTTGGTGTCAACAATTTCTAAACATCATCTTTCTTCTTGAGCCCTTTGATACCAGCTCCTCCTTTTTTCCCCCCTTCCCTCCCCAACCCTGCCACCCCTGCGAACCCTTAATATATTATGTATTGTTATTATTTATACATATCTTACGCTGTCCTTTCTATCCCTTCACCTAATATCCTGGTATTCATCCCCCTCAAGGGGGGTTATTCTGCCATCAATGCTATTCGTTCTCCTTTCTCTTCCCTTTCTGCCTCCCCTTTCCCTTCCCCTACCTTCCTGGAATCGTTACTCTCATTACTGATTCTGAGGGCGTGATAAGCTCATTTGATTCCAGTTTTAGATGAGCGCTTGGATAAGAGGGTGGATGACATGCTTGCTGCTGGTCTTTTGGAAGAACTAAGAAGTTTTCACAGGCGCTATAATCAGAAGAAGGTAGCTGAAAATAGGTGAGGATTTGGCTGTTGTTTTTACCTATCACCCATTCTTTGTTGGTGTTCTCAAAGTTACTGGACATAATACGGGTGTGGGAATCGATTTGTCTATTAGCCTCTGTGGTTAGCATTAGCAAGACTTTTTGGAAGGAGGATTGATGTGCTTGTTATAGTTTTTGCTTTCTAATGTGTGGGACCTTTCAAGGGAAGTAATCTGGAAGCTGATGGGGGTGGGAGAAGATGTCAGAGAGGCAGTGACTTGCTCAGGATTACATTTTCCACATCTGTACAATTTGATCATCTCAAGGCCCCTGCCAGCTCTCAGATGCCATGGCTCATCTGCTGACGCTCTCCTGTTCCCAGCCAGGACTATCAACATGGTATCTTCCAATCAATTGGCTTCAAGGAATTTCACGAGTACCTGACCACTGAGGGGAAATGCACACCAGAGACTGGTAGCCAGCTTCTAAAGAAAGGTGTGAATTCCTTGTCTAACCCAGCCTTGGGTGTCCTTGGGTGGCAGAGTACCCTACTGGTATGGTCTGAGAAAGAGCTGATGCTAAAAGAGTTTCCAAATGGCCTTCAGTTCAAAATTGAGATTTTTCTGCCCTCTAAACCTACCATTGAACGAGGTGTGGTGGCATAGTGGTTAAGCGTTGGGCTATTAACTGCAAGGTCTATAGTTCAAAACCACCAGCCAGCTCAGAGGGAGAAAGAAGAAGCTCTCTGCTCCCATGAAGAGTTAGTCTCAGAAACTCACTGGAGCAGTTTTACCCTGCCCTATAGGGTTTCTGTGAGTGAGTTTGGTTTTTGGTAAGGCTGGTTTTCTTGTCTCCTGGGCTGGGAGGGCTTGTCTTTTAGTAAGGTCAGTATATGTATATGTTTTAATAAGGTCAATGTTATTATGCAGATTCTCATATAGCTACTTTATCTTTCAGGTATTGAGGCTCTGAAACAAGTGACTAAGAGATATGCCCGGAAGCAAAACCGATGGGTTAAGAATCGTTTCTTGAGCAGTAAGTTGCAAGTGTGGACTTAACCCCAAGTCTGTTTTAGTAGGAATGTAGGTATCCTCGGTTCACCCAGAAAATGAACTCTAGTTTTTAGACTGGCTCTACGATTTGGACTTGCCCTAGAAGAAAGTCTGTTGTATAAAGGATTGTCCAGGGATGTTTTCTTGTAATGTCTTAGGAAAAGAATTAAGTCTTTGCTCTGGGGGGCCAGCCTTATGCTTTGAACAGATGGGTGCTGAAAACAGGTAAGAACAGAATGCCTGCCTTTTCTCAGCAAAGGAGGTGCTTAGGGCTGATTTTAGCTTCAGGTTTTGTGCCAGAAGAGCTGTCTCATTTCTGTAGAGAGGCTTTCCTCATCACACATGGTTCTTGGGCCAGATGAACAGTAATAAAAAGGAAAACCGTCACCAGTTCTTTCAGCATTTCCTATGTGCTTCAGGCTGCTTCCCTCAGTTGTTGCCATGAGGTGCCATTGAGTCGGTGCCAACAGCTGAAGGCAACTGAATGAAGTCCTGCACCAGCCCCCCAGTCTTGGCTGTGCTGGGGGGGTCCACTGTGGCAGCTACTGTGTCAGTCCTGTAGTAAACAAGCTCTGTTAGGGGAACCAAACCAAACTCACTGCCGTCGAGTCAGTGCCAACTCATTGTGACGCCCTTGTGGGTGTCCGAGACTGTAACAGGAGTAGAGAGCCCTGTCTTTCTCCCAAGGAGCTGCTGGTGGTTTTGAACTGCCTACAATGTAGATCACAGCCCAACATGTAACCACTGTTTCACCAGGGTCCCAGTGTTTCCGGGAAAGGGAAGGACATTCCTATTCATTTGACTTTGTTCTTGGCCCTAAATTCGCTGCTAAAGATAAGTCATTGAGTTTCTGAGGTCGATTGTATTCTTTTAAATTTTTTTCACAGTTGAGGGAATGAAGTCCTGAGAGGTTAAATAACTTGCCAAAGCAAGTAAGTGATGGGCTGTTGAATGTGGTCTCCCACCCTTCGCCTGATACCACTCTTCTAGTTTCTCGCAATAACATTAGCTAGACAGCATCAGCATTAGACGCTGAGGGGAGAAATTGATGGTTATGAACTAAAAGGAGACCAAGTTGGAGTGAAGTCCCCCATTAACCTGGTACCAGGGCTATGAGTTTCTATATACTTGTGAATCCTTTTACATTTACCTTTGCCAGTAAGTAGACTTACGCTTTCAGTTAGAGACTAGCAGGTGCTTCTGAATGTGTGTCCCTTGATTTGCTGAAGTGTTCTGTCCCAGCACAGCTGACTGCTGGAGTGCTCCGGGGTAGTTCTGGTGCCACGAGGGTCTCCATGCCTTCTTCTGCATCTCTTGCTTTCCCTGCATGTCCCGCTAACAGGAAAGATGAGTGTCGGCTGACATTGAAGTAGCGCTCCATACTACTACCACTTCTAATGTGTCTCTCCCCAGGGCTGACAATTAGTCAGTAACAAAAGATGCTTTTTGTAATGATTTGGAACTTCCTCCTGTGGTAGAGCCACAACACTCCCCCGCCCCTGATCCAGGCGGGGTTGATGGCACTGCACGTCATAAGCTTGTTCCTTATTCGTGTGTGCGCTGGCACGGCCCTGGTGCTAGAGTGAAAGGCACAGCTGCCCTGTAAATCAGGGGTGGCCTGTGATTGGCCAGGGCTGCTCTGCTGGGATATGGTTTTGGCAGGAAGCCAGAGGGACTTCCCCACCCCAGCTTGGCCTTGGACCCAAGCCAGAAACAGCAGCTGGGAGCCGAGAACTTGTTGAAAGGTGCTTAGACAGGGCACAGAAGCCCAACAAAGGATTTGGAGGAGAAAGGAAAATGTAGAGTGGCCTGGAAACAGGTGCAGAGCTTAGCCAAGGCCAGGTGTGCTGTGGATGCTGCCTGCACCCTCCCAGTCTCACCTTTCCGTGTGGTGGCAGGTGCAGCCCAGTCCAGTTTATGAAGAATCTTATTTGTGGTTGGCACACTCAAAAGGCCAGCACCTGCCAGCGGTTGGCATCCTGAGACCTTTGATGCTTTTGTCCACGGGGTGATGCTCTTTGCGTCTAGGCAGCTGACTTCTAGCTGTGGAAAGCACTTCAATGGGTGGCTTGGGCAGCTACCAGCAGGGGCTATTCTCCCAAGGTGGTTGCCCCTGATGAGTAAAAGGCCTATAGCAGCTGTCCTTCCTCTCTGCAACCTTCAACCTCAGCCCCATTCACAAGTGTCCTCCAGTCTAGACCTGTTTCCCGAAAGAAGGTGCTCCACTAGGTCCGTTCTAAGCGTTCTTTCTAGTTCTCGGATTAGCAGACCCATTGGCTGATCCTACTCTGTTCCCGCCCATGATTAGCAAAGTGGTGCCCAGGAGAGTCCTGAATGCCAGACTGCTGGAGGGATGTCAACCTGGGACTAGTGTCTGCTCCTCAGGCAACCCGTGAACCCTCCTGTCACTGAGCGGGACATCACTGTTTGATAATGTGGAGCATAGGACAGGCATTTATTTAAAGCTGTTTAGTTATTTCCCCCAAGGATATATTACCTTGCAATTGTAACTTACACGCAGTTATTCTGTTTTCCTGACTGATCTGGAAGATCCTGCACCCGTGTCATCTCTGGATTATACAGTCCAACCAATCTTCCGGAGCCCTGGTGGTGTAGTCGTTAAGGTGCTAACTGCAAGGTCAGCAGTTCAAAACTACCAGCTGCTCCTTGAGAAAAAAACTAGGCTTTCTACTCCTGTAAAGAGTTAGTTTCGGAAACCCACAGGGGCACTTTTGCCCTGTCCTATAGGGTCACTATGAGTCAGAATCAACTCGGTGGCAGTGAAATGAGATGCTGAGCCAACCTGCTAGGTCATCTTGGCTTCTGTGTAGGTGTTGGTCTACATTTCTATTTAGGGTAACTAGCACGGTCAGAATGGTCCTTTGACCCTAGATGTTTCCCTTGAGGGTTTTGGAATCCTGGGGGAAGCCTAGATTATAGACCTTTGAGGCTAACCTCTAATAACTCTTCTTTGTCACCGTTAGGACCTGGTTCCAGTGTCCCCCCAATATATGGCTTAGAGGTATCTGATGTCTCAAAGTGGGAGGAGTCTGTTCTGGAACCCGCTCTAGAAATCGTGCGAAGTTTCATCCAGGTGACCATTCATCACAGTACAAACATTGCCTGGTTTGCGGTGAGCTCTCCCACACCAGCACCTTGCTGTGTGTCGGTGTCGGGAACCTAGCCTGATTTTCCACGGGATAAAGCAGAAGGGCTGGCTGCTTTTAGATCCCTGGAGGCTGTGTTTCTTCTTTCACATTTAGAAAGGTTGTTGCTAAAATCTCTTCACACCACACCTGCTCTCTGGGATGAGGAAAAGGGGTCTTGGGGAAGTCCCCTGCCCCATAATATCAGAGAATGATAACCCAATTCTCTTGAGAATCAAATACTTTTCTCCACCCTTGTTCTTTCAGGGCCACAAGCCTGCAGTCGCTCCAATCAAGATGCTATGCAGCGAGACTGAGAACAAGAGAAGTTATCACATGTGTGACCTCTGTGGTCGCATCATCATCGGGGACCGAGAGTGGGCAGGTAGTGTCTGCAGTGGGCCCAGAGAATTCTCTAAGAGTTTGGGCACATTGATTTCCTGCCATTTCAGATCTTTGGTAGGTTGAAGGATGGCGGGTGCATATTTGTAAAGGGGTGGCTACAGTCCTGTAAGAGCCTGTGCTCAAATTCCATGGAGACTTTCCAGAATTGGGGGAGCTGTTTCTGTCATGTGGATTCCAAAGGAAGCCCGTGTGTCCCCGAGCTTCAGCTGAAATAAGTGCTTCCTACTGAAGGGTCCACGGATCAATTCCTAGAGCACCTGTGACCTGCCTCACAGGACTTGTTTGACCTGCCATGGTTAGACCACAGTGGGGTGAGAGCACATTGGAGGGGAGCCAGGCGGCTCTGTTAAGAGACACCAGAAGCAGAAGCATGGGAGGGAAGGCGCAGGTGCTGTTAGTTCCTCTTGAGGACATTCACCCAAAGTGGCATCTTCAGTGATTTTTGAAGTAACATGTTGAGGTGGCAGCGACTCTGAAAACTGTGATGAAAAGATGTTGAAGGAAACAGAACACAAGACTCCCATCAAATGTGTTGGAGTGGAAGGTTGCCAGAGGGGGTCACCCCAGTCCTCGGGTGCTCACTGTGATTGTAGTTCCCAGCCTGGTTTTGTAGCCATCCAGTCACCACCCAAAGAACCTTCGCTCCCAAGCCCTGCATTTCCAGTGTGTTTAGAACATGTGGAAGGATCCCCATCTCTGTGCACGAACAGCCCTGTCAGCATAATGGGCTACACAGTGGGCTGCCAACTGCAAGGGCAGCCGTCAGACCCACCAGCTGCTCTGTGGGAGAAAGCTGAGGCTTTCTGCTCCTGTGAAGACGTAGAACTTCGGAAGCGCTAAGGAGACAGTTCTACTCTGCACTGCCACTATGAGTGGGAATGACTCTGGTGACCGTGAGTTGGAGTCTTTAGGCACCGAGAGCTCCGGTGGTGCCGGGGTTTTTAGCCTCATTGTGAGTCGGGAAGGTCTTTGTAGGTAGTGGGGCTTGCAGTGTACCCAGCGTTTGGCATCCTTCTGTTGAGATTACTGCTTTGCACAGCATCCTCATAGAAATGGATTTTTCTCCCCATTCCAACCAGTAGAACGATTAGTTCTATTAACTGGCAACTCTGGCAAAATGCACTTCATTGTCAGAGGCTGGAGATGGCTGTGATTGCCCAAGCAACAGAAGAAGCCTCGATTGTTGTTGGCTTATGAAAGGGGAACGCCAAAGAGAGGGTCTGATTGTTTTTTTCTAAAGGAAACTGTAGTGGTTCGATTTGTCGACTGTCCTTCAGGGATAGCCTCAGAGAAGCAGCATTTGTGAGCCTTTGTGAGCTTAGCCTGTGTAAGCCCTTCTATGTAGTGCCATCTGTCAGGCCCTTGCTCCCATCTCCCGCTGCCATGGAGAGCCCAGCCAGAAGCCCGCTTGTTGCCTTAGGCTCTAGCTGACGAACAAAGCTGACATCCCCTCACCCCCCACCCCAACACTTTTCTCTGATTTCTAGCCTCTTCCTTACCTATTCTTAATTCCAGACGGTAAAATGACCAGTTGTTTTATATGTATGTGAGTTTAATTGAGTAGTCTCTCTGGTCGTGAGTCAAAAAGCATCTGTAACTGGAGGCATTCTCCCGTAGAGCCCGGACTGGCCAGTGAGTTCTCTTTGGCAGGAGCTGTTGGTAGGGACAAGAGCTTACCTGCAATGCGGCTTTGATCACCATGTAAGACGGCTGAGAACCTCTGTTTCCCCATAGGTAGAGTAAGCACAATGGTATCGTCCTGCAAAATGGTTGTGTGGATTACTGTTCTTAGGTGCCATCAAGTTGAATTTGACTCACAGCGGCCTCCTGTGACAGAGTAGTTGTTATAAGTCAGGTTGCTAATCTCAAGGTCAGCACTTCTAAAACTCCAGTCACTCTGCAAGAGAAAGAGTAGGCTTTCTACTCCAGTCAGAGTTACAGACTTGGAAACGGGGCAATTCCACTTTGCCCTATGGGTCACTCTGGGTCAGAATTGACAGTGAGTTGAGAGGGACAGAATAGAACTGTCCCACGGGGTTTTCTAGGCTTTAATCTGTACATGAACTTTCTCCTCCAGAACCCTGGTCTTTCTCCCAGAGAGCGTAGGGTGGCTCTGAACCGCCAGCCTTTTGATTATCAACCTAGCACTTGCAATCATTGTACCAACCAAACTATTGTGAGGATTCCTAATGTAGAATGTGCCTCGTAGGGTCCAGGCACCTTTGGGTGCGTGGTAACATAATCTGTCTAGTCTGCTAATCAGCTATAGCAATACATGTGTTGTTGTTCTTGTTCTTGTTGAAGAAAGGGACTGTGTGGTTCATTTTATTTCCTTCTAGGATTCATTCAAGAAAATTATCATGGGAATAAAGAAAAACCTAATGAGTTTTATGTTTATCTTCCAGCACATCTAAAATCTAAATCCCATGGCTACCAACTGAAGAAAAGAAGATTGGACTCAGGTGCTGTCCCCACTTCAGGCAGTCCGAATGTTTCTTGGGAGTGTGTTAGAGAGAATGGATCCTCGGGGCAGAATGATCCGGAGCTGACCGCCGGCCTTTAAGAGACATGGCTCTTGGCCTGTGCAGAGGCGGAGTGGATCCAGTCTGGGCTGAGCTGTGTAGCACAGCATGTAGCCACCATTTTGTCTCATTCCGGATGCTATGACTCCCAGGTCTTGTGCTCCTCTGTCATGGCAGTAGCAGGTCTTGTCAGCGCCTCTGTGACTGATGTGTCTGGTGATGATGCACTTCAGGGAAGGATTGTTTGTTTCTTTTCTCCTTTTTTAACCTTAAAGTTTCTATTTTTAAAAGTGGCACAGATTGTACTTTTTTACCCATGAAGGTCTTTTCAGTGGCGAGTAGCGGGATTCACCCTACCCTCAAAAGAAGCTTTATGTCCCTGGCTCTCACTTGAAATAGCTGACTTCCAGGCACTTCAGTGGATGACTGAAGTACTGTGAGCTACAAATCAGGAGTTCAGGATTTGAGTAAAAGACCAGGAAGAACCAGCCCTGTGAGGTGATCAAGTGGACCAGAGTAGTGTTTGGAATTCCATGGAAAAGGAGGGACTTAGATCTAGGTGGTGGTGGTCATGGAACTTAATGGCTCTCAAACTTGGACATTTTTTGCACTACTCCTGTGTGGTCAACGATTGTGACTTTTCTGTTGAGTTCAGAGTCTCGTATGTTTTCACTGAAAGTTAAAGTATTTGTAAGAGCTTCTTTTGCCGTGTTTGTGGTGGGGGGTGGTCTGCTATCAACACGACAGCCCTGCTTCAGATTTGGCACTTCGTGTTGTAATGCTCTCCATTTATTTACTGCATAAATGCTTGTTGGAAGATAATCGGGTTTTTTGGAAATTTTTATTATCAGAGATTTGGTCATTCCCAGTTGCAGTCCTCTTTCTGGATGACACAAATTGCCAACAATGTGAAGTATGTTTTCTGTGTTTAGAATCTTCCCTCTGAGCTCCTGGCCTAGGCTAGAGAGGAGATAGAGATGGATCAGATAGAATTCTTGCCTTCAGGAAGTTTGTCAGTCTTGTACTCAGACAAACACAACCAGGCTAGGTCAAAGAGTGTCAGAAGCTCCGTCAGAGCTGTGTGGGATTCCAGTTTGGAGGAGAAGGAAAAGGGTCAGGCTGGTGGTACCCTTTGTGATGGAACTAAAAAGAATTCTTGGTAAATACAGTGTCACCAATGCCTATAAGACTGCTTAAAGGAGAGGGTAGAAAAGGAGTGTTGGATTCCAGAGCCTCACCCACCTTTAACTGATTTAAATCTCAAGAATGAATGTATTCTCTAGTCAAATTGTACTACCAGAACCATTAAAGGAGGTATAATTTCCCTAATCAGTTCATTAACTAGCTCCAGTGAGCTCCATCGTCACATCTTCCCACCTGGTGTGGAGATAAGTACCACTGTGAGCCAAGCAGTTCCAGGCACTAGTTGCTTCTGTCCTTGCTACCCAATGGGAAGCAGGCCACCCAAAGGAGCACAGTTAGTTAAGCGGCAGTGGGATGGAGGTGAGCTCAGTAGACAGCAGAATTATGCTGACTTGGGTGGTGGGGGCAGCACAACTTAGTCACACAAGTTACTAAATTTATTTTAAAGTTAAAAGAAACACACATACAAAAAGAAAAAACTTCAGTGGATGAACAGGAAAAACTAGTTTTAATAATCCTACCTTTAAAAAGCCTTTAATCCTTTCATCTGAAATAGCTAGAGCAGTAGCTTCTCCTTGATATCTCCCTGGCAGTTGGAAATCGGGAATTCTTTGTTAAACCCCTGAAAGTGTCCGATATTTATGCTGTGCCTTCGAAGCTCAAGAACTGTGATTGTGCCCACTGACTGGTTCTCTTCTGTATGTTCAACAAGAGGGAATTCCTTCCGCAGCAGGGTACTCGCTAGCAATCTGCTTGGGACCCTGGGCCGAGGCATTGCCCTGACAGATCTTCGTACTGCCTGTGATGCCCTGACAGTGTCAAGTGCAGGGAAGGGGGGTCGTTCTGCTCAGTGATTGTCATAATGGACAGGTGGGACAACTGAGCCCCAAAACATGACTGCTCTGTGGTCTCAGAGCAAGTTATGGTGAAACCAGGACAAATTTCATTTCTCTTCTCTCACTTGACTACTGAATGCCCTGTAAATCTCATGCAGTCAAGAGCTGGGGAGGACCACAGGGACCAGATTGAGACTATTTGCACAGCCGGGAGGGAAAGTGAGGAATGCTGTTTCACACCATCTGGCCTCAGCTAATCCCCAGACAAGCAGAGAGCCCTTCAGTCCAGGTACCCAGAGCCTCCAGTCCGTCACACCAGCAGCGCTCTTTAAATGGCTTTGGTAATTCATTCCAACACTCAGCAAGCTAGAAGGTTCACGACCCAGTTCAAACACTGCTGCTTTACACGGGTAGGCCAAGGGTTGATTCTGAAAAGAACTAGATTCTTACTCTTCAAAATATGTTGCTTGAACTTTAGGGATAACCAAGGGAAACAGCTAATTCATCTGTGTAGCCCAGTCTGTGCATCACTCCTTCTGTTACCCTCAGTAATTATGGGGGCTTTGGGCCTCAGTTCCACCACCCTTATTTTTCTCCCTAAAATAGATAACATCGCAATTAAAACATTCACATTAGAGAAGCAAGCTTAATGAATGCAGTCATCTGGCTGCTTCTTCAGCATCTAGAAGCAAATGTTGGCTGAATTAATTGAATGAATGAATGAATGAATGAATAAAAGCTCAGTAGAGTCTCTCTAGCCCTTTAACCAGGATGAAGAAATCTTGGCCTCGGAGCCATAGAGAGGTATTTTATTATCTGGTTATCACCTACTTGGGTGGTGAGGACTGTTTTCTAGAAGATAGCTAACTGGCCTTTTTAAAAGCTGTTCTGAATATGTACAAAGGAAGCTTCGTGGTTGTGTTAGGGTAAAAGGCTAAGCTGCTGTAACAGAGACTCAACAATGCGGTGCCTTGAAGAAAGAGCTGTTCCTTTCTCACGTAACAGCTCTGAGGGGTGTGAACCGTTCGGAAGTGGTCCAGGTCAGTGGGGCAGCTCTGTTCCAAGCGGTCAGTCAGGGACACAGGATCCTTAGATCATGTTGCTTTTCCATCCTCTGGGGCATTGTCATTACCTGCATGCTGGGAGCTGGCTCTTCATCACGGGTTCCAGCCAGTAGGAAATGTTGGGGACAGAGAGGACAGGGTGGAAGCACAGCCATGCCGTAAGGCCTAGACCCTGCCGTGGCACGCACAGAAGAAAGGAGCCACATCGCCACACCTCTATCAGGGAGGCTGAGAAGTGCAGTCCAGCCGGTGCGGAGCAGATTTCGGTGGACAACTTTTGAGTCTCCCAACATCCTGGAAAGAGCATTGAGTTAGGATCCAGAAGACCTGGGTTCTAGGCCAGCATCCTTTAGCTCATTGTTGCTGTCTTTGTTTGCCGGGAGCAGCTCTTCGTTGAGAAATTATTAAATCAAGTGACCTGACCTCAGAGATTCCATAAAGGAGAGCTTGACAACATCTTGGCTGGTGTGATTTTAAACAGAATAAAAAAGGGGCTTGGAAGCAGGATTCTGGAGGCCAGTGGCTAACACTGAGGATTTGGGGGAAGAAAGATTGGGGTGGGGGCTGTGGTTGTTGTGGAATACCTAGACAAATGACTAACTTCCACTTATGTGAAAAAACTCCACCCGAACCAAACTCCCTGCCATCCAGTGGATTCCAACTCAGCGACCCTACAGGACAGGGGGCCCAAGACTGTACATCTTTATGGGAGCAGAAAGCCCTGTCTTTCTCCTTTGGAGCGGTTGGTGGTTTCGAACTGTTGAAGTTGCCATTGGTGGCCCAACTTGTAACTGTTACACCTCTAGGGCCCCTTTCTGTGGAAAGAAATCTGTCTGTACCTGTAGCTGAACACCTCGTCCCATCAACCTCCTTGGTGACCTTGAGAAAATTGCTTAAGCAGCACAAATGCCCTTCTATGGAAGGGAGCTGTTACTGTCCCTCTCTGACAGGGTGCACGGGAAGGTTCGAGCAAGGGCCTTTGCAAACAGTATTGTGCTGGGCACTTTCCGTACCCAAAACAGCCAAACTCAGAGCGACCCTAGACCAGCTACCCCTAAAAAACTCACTGCCATGTACAAATGTACTTGACATAATGGATGGATATATGGATTGTAATAAGTGTTGTACAAGCCCCTAATAAAATGATTTAAAACAAAATAAAAAGAAACATACAAATTCAAAACAAACAAAAAAATATTAAATCTCAGCATTACAGAATATTGCTCAGGAATAGATTTGTTGGGCAGCTTGAGTGGTTATGAAAATTAGATGTTATTTGCTCATTTCCCCCAAACTCTGGACTTTCATGATTACTCAGCAATAAATGAACTTTTGTCTTTGCAAAAAAAAAAAACCTCCTTGCCATCGAGTCCATTCTGACTCATGGTGACCCTGTAAGGGTAGAACTGCCCCCTGGGAGTTCCCAAGACTAACTCTTTACAGGAGTAGAAAGCCTCATCTTTGCTCCCACAGAGCAGCTAGTGGTTTCAAACTGCTGACCTCTTGGTTAGCAGCCCAACGTGTAGTCATTACGCCACCAGAACCAGTTACCAGTAGGAATAAATTGGGTTTATTCGCTTCCTTGGGGGAAAATGTTAATGCCGCTGAAGTGTTGACCTGTGGTGTCAGCTTTTGAGAGTTGTCAGGGTGAGCTCAGACTTATAACTGACACAGAGGAGTCCCTGATTATTTGGCTTCGAAATAATATGTAAAATGAAAACGTGCAGATGGGTGAAAATGGGGCTTTGGGCCCTATCTGCCACCAACTAAGCTTCCGCCAATCTTTAAACGTTTGAAATGTATGTGGTTTCTTTCCCTAGATTAGCTCATTTGCTTGCACTGTTGGATAGACATGCCCATTCCCCTGCTCTTCACCTAGAGTCAGAATTGACTGGATGGCAGTGAATTTCCTCTGGTTTGGTTTGACCGAGTGCACTCCTGTAGAGAGCTTCAAGGACCAGGCCCTTGTCCTCATTCTGGGTGAAGCTTCCTCAGCTCCCCCAGGGAGACTTACATTTACCTTCTTGTAATGATACTCATACTAGAGTATACTCATTTCAGTGCTAAATACTTATGTAACACCTCAGGTGAGGCACCGTATGAACTACAAATTATTAACTCATTTAATCCTCATAGTAGCTCCATGAGGTTTATATCATCCTCATTATTCAGTCCATATTACAGTGGCGAAACGGAGTAGAGCAGTTTAGTTAAATGACCTTCTTAAGGGCTATCTGGGTTTGAATCCAGATCGGAGACTCCAGAATCTCTATACAGCAGTGGTTCTCCACCTTCCTAATGCCGTGACCCTTTCATACAGTTCTTTATATTGTGGTGGCCCCCAACCATAAAATTATTTTTGTTGCTACTTCATAACTAATTTTGCTACTGTTAGGAATCGGGCAGCCCCTGTGAAGGAGTCGTTCGACCCCCAAAGGGGTCTCGACCCACAGGTTGAGAACTGCAGCTATGAAGTGTCCGCATCCACTTTACTCTTTGTCTACTTCTGGCTCTGTGGAGCACACAACACCTAGAGCTATCTCTTGCCCCTTTGGAGAATAAATTCTGTCCGTATGTAAATCCTATTTAAGGTTAGTGTGGGCCATGTGGTGGACACTCAATAGATGGAGGGGAGTTGTTGAAACAGTGCATCTCTGAATCTAAATGTCAACTTGGCTTCTCTGCATCGGATGTTTACTATGTGTCGGGGAAAAATGTACAGGGTAATTTATTATCTTCCCATTTGCTAAATAAAAAAACAGCTTAATTAGCAGTGGCT